TTATTAAATATTATTATTTATTTAAAACGAAGTACGAAATTAACGAATAATATGTTTATTAATCGTTAAATTATTTTTTTATTAACGTTAAATTTTTTATTAAAACTTTTTACCTTCGCGTTTAATATTTTTTTTAAATATTTACGTACTTTTTTACGAAGTTAATTATTTATTAAATTAATAATTACTTAAATTAATAATATATTAAATTATTCGTTTTTAACATTCGAATATAAAAGTTTTAAATTTACGATTATAAATATTATATAAATGGTAATTAATTAATGCATTATAAAATATATAACGTATTTTAATATTATTAAAAAACTTAATAATATAATAAAATAATTAAGTTAATTAACTTTAATTATTATAATATTTAAGGTTATTACGAATAAGTTTAAAACACGATTATATATATTATAACGATAACGTAAAATATAAAGTTAAAAAATCATTATTTATTAAGTTTAAAACTTTTTTTTATAAAAATAAAAAAAATATTTAAAATTAAAAATATATATTTTAAATATTTTTAAATAAATAATATAAAAAAAATTAATATTAATTAAAACGATTAAAGTGAAAACTTAAATATTTATAAAAAAGTTTAACGTTATATTAAAAAAAAAGCTGTTATTAAATAATCGGCTTTTAACATTTCGTCGACCCGTATTTTCGACGAAATAAAAGAAAACGAACTTTTAAAAAAACTTATTAAATAATCGAGTATAAAAATTAATTATAATAAAAAAAAAAATAAAAAATTATAAAAAAAAATATAACTTAAGAAAAAAGATTAAATTAAAATTTATTAATAATTAATATATTAAATTATTTTTTTAATTAATTTTTAAATTATTTATTAAATCGAATTTTAAATTAATTTTTAAATTAATCGATAAATTAATTTAATTTAATTAATTAAAATTAAGTTTTAATATACGTGGATTATTTAAATAAACGTTAATTAAATTTTAAATTTATTTACTTATTTAATTAAATATATTTTTTTTATATTTAATTATTTATTTTTCGATTTAATTTTTTTATTAATTAATTATTTAATTAATTATTTAATTAATTATTAAATTAATTATTAAATTAATTTAAAAGTTAATTATTAAATTTATTATTAAATTAATTATTAAATTATTTATTTAATTAATTATATAAATAATTTCGAAATAATCGTTAAACTTTAAATTTATTTATTAACTTAATTAAATATATTTTTTAATATATTAATTTTTTTTAATTTAATTATATAATTTTTTTAACGTATTAATTATTTTTTTTAAGTTTAAGTTCGAATCTTTTCATACTTTAAAATTACATAATTAAATCGAAAAGTAATTAATATATTATTATATAATTAAGCTTTAAATTTAAATAATTTTCGAATTAATAAAGTTATAAAATTAAAAAAAACTATTTTATATAATTCGAAATTTTCTTAAATTTATTAAAATTAAAATTAAATATTTTTAAAAATCGACCTTTTTTAATAAATCCAAATATCCGGCTTAATGGGCTTACGTAATAATATATAAGTCGAAAACTTACGTAATTCCGATATTTTAAATCTTTAAAATTTTAAAACAAAACAAATTATATTATATATAATATAAAAAATATATATTTCGAAAAAGAAAAATTTACGTTATTTTATAAGTATAAGTAAGTTATAACTGATATATGCTTTTACAAAAATTGATAAAATTCGAAGATTAACCCGATTGGGAACTCCGGAAACTCCGACAAGTGTTGATTTTTCCCTACGTTTCGTTGCGACACAATAACCCTCGGAGCTCGGGCATTTCCCATGGTTGCGGATGTTCGAGAAGTAACGAATCAAGCTTTAGAATTCAAATTATGTTTATTCTTTAGCGGTTTTTGAATGAATTGGGCATTTTGATTGGCTTAATCAGCAAGTAAGATTTTGTACATCCTTAATACTATTATCACCACCTCTTTAACAACTCTAAATGTATACTGCAAGTTATCCAACCTAGAATATACTAGATATACAAATAACTTTTCATCCGATATACGTCTCTGATTGATATAGAAAATATCATCTAAAAAAACACTCCCAGTTCAAACGTTTCTGTCCGACCCCGATGTAACTCCACGGTGTTGTCAGGAGTATTTGTTTCATTGCGTCGCAGGCAGATTTCAGTGCCAATTCGTCGAACAGAGATGAACGAAGAAACGTCATGTTTTCTTCTAGAAACTCTATCCACGTGTTAAATAGTCCGTCTGTCGAATATCTCAACTTCATACTCTGCATAGGAACCCGTATTATAATTCATATCCCCACAATCTGTCCAGTTGTCTCCTTACGATAGCGTGCGCACCCCAGACTTATATTCACTTCATCCGTCGTGTGTTTTTGGCGAAACAGGGGGCTTGTGTCGTATGGATGGTCTTACGGATGTACGATTGAGACCGGGGAAAAGCGATTTTCCCCCGCGATTCCCTTCTACTATGACCCGACGCTGATGGAAGCGTTCTAGATCTATGACTAAGCTACCGAATCCACTCTGGACTGCAAGCCCCATGTGCAATGGTTCGCGACCTATTCAAGCCATGGCGGTATAACTGAAGAGGCGGCAAACTACTGTAAGTGAAAAACAGGGTTACGGCATAGCAGCATGATTCGGGTTTGTCCGAGTTCTCCGGCATATTAGGCCGAGCTGAGGAGCTGAGTCGCCAAGTTACGCCTACCGGGACTTAAAAGAGCAATTCTAGTTACTTCATGTCGTCGAATCCATCCATCTTGGGAGGAAGTACGTAATAGAGCGGACGAGATCGATCTTCTTTGCATGGTGGCTGATGAGAAAGGAACATATGCTTGTTAGGGACGGCGATTGTGAAGCTTTGAATGGCCCAGGTATGGATGACATGAGGTACTCTGGGTCATACAGCATATAGCTCTAGAAGAATTCTCCGGCTGCAAGAAACAATCGAGTAACATTTGCAAGTTAGCCCATCATATTAGCTAAAGGAGGGATCCTATTGATGATCACCGAAGGAGGATCTCCGCCACTGTCTTGTTCATGGACTGCCATCTCTATCGCAACCGACTCCGTCGACAGTCACAGTAAGTCGATATTTTCGTCGCTGTATGGTTGCCGCTCTATTATAGAGTAGTATTCGTTTGATATTTCAAAGTGACATTATCTTCTCATGTGTAGGTAGGGACCTAGTGGTTATACGAAAACTCGCGGGAGAGCACAGCATTGAAGTGAGTAAAGGTTAAGAAACTTCCTTAATCTCGCCTCTTGGGGTCTCTGTCGGCCAAACCCCGGTGGCACATCCCTATCAGACTTACCTAACCATCCTGTCGTCACCCACATAATTACATGCCTGTAAGACTCATCATGTGACATCAGTCCCCCTAATATCTGTGCAATTGACTCAAGAGATCGTTACCCAGCGTTAGGGCTACCCAGATGAAGTACTGTGGGTCGTGACCCGTAAGGCTGGATGATGGACAGGCCCCTTACAGCGTCATACCCTTCTCACAATTGCTGGGGCTTTCTAGATTGGAGCCTCCTCTGCACAAGCAAATTGGCAGGGGGTCACGGTCTTACTACATAGGGTTCAATTCGTGTGACATAATAGCATCCCGCCATTTACACGGCTAGGTGACGGATTGGGGGCCGAATGGGTATCCAGATGCTTAAGAATACCATGATACCGAGCAATCCGACCGCCCAGTCTCGGCAGACGGGTCAAGTCACCATTACGGGCATCTTTAGAGATTTCTCTTCCGCCTCACTAAGATCTGGGTTACTTCACGATCGTCCAAGGGAAAGCAACAGGGTAATATATCCATTGCGAGGCTCGGGTGTCAGGTGTTTGTTTGTGCCCATTTCAGCACATTTCGGCCACAAACAGCTCTGATTCGGCAGCACTGAGGATCCCATCGTGGGTTTCTGGCAAACGTAGACTACCTAGGTAAGGAGCCTAAGATATCTGAGGTCGTTAGTAGAGCAACTATGGCAATAAAGGAGGCGCGTGGTTTGCTTTAGCTATCATATTTCTCCCAGAGGAGTATTCATCGACGGCCTGTTATGAACATAAGGTCAGTGGTGTTGATAAGGTGACCGCAATTGGAAAAGTGCAATACAAATTAGGACTATGACCTTGTTTGTCGCTCACGGGATCTCTCACACTGCGGCTCCACTAGCGTTCTCGCCCTTTCATACATTCATAGAATGACAATGGAGTTCCGATGGCGGTGAGTTCTCGACGCATCGCTCTGCATCCCACGCTCCTCTAGGAGGGCGAGCGATATGATCGTCATGCAGGCTGATCCTTAAAGCAACTTAGGGTGAAGGCTCCCGGTGTCTGTTCCACTTGCCATTTTAATCAGGCATGAGCTCAGGAGCTTAGGTCATTCCCATTCTGTGTGCTATAGACCCAGCCTGTCGGTATCCATTCATCGATCGTATTTCGTGCATGAAGTCGACCCCGATGAACCATATCCGATAAGACGTGCCGTTTGGTTCCGCCTGTACTTTCAGCCCCTTTTTATCGAATTCCTTCGTCATGATACCTGCTAGATCTAGTCTTTGCCCGTAGTCCCATTGGTGGATAACCAGGTTCGAAATCAGAGGCTGGCTCGGGAATATTCTTCAGCGTCGTAGACCGGCATACTCCTTTCTTCCACCTAACCTCATGATGGCCGTAGCGGTGTTATTTCTCTGCTCTAGGGGTCCCCGATCGTAGCACAGCCATCGCATTGCATCTTTGATTTCTCTGCTCTGCTGAGTATACCAGGTGATACAATGATCCTATCATCGCCTCAGTCGTCACCGAGAAGACGTACGTTTCCAGAGAATGTCGAGAAGGGAGAAGAATCTGTGCAATTTCATGAGGCTCTGCAGGTTTGCTAAGACACGGAATGGATCGTTTTCGAAGTCTTTCTAGCGAAGGTTCGGTGTAGTCTGACTGTGCGGCTCCTTTACTGCAGAACTTGTAGTATCATGGCTACGATTCTCCTCCCTATAAGGATCTTGTGAATTCCTCGTGAGATGAGAACTTGGATAGAAGGAAACCAAGAGACCTCAGAGAATTCAATCTTCTATCAACTTCCAGCATCTATACTAGCATCGTTAGCATTATTAAATTGCTTCCTCAAGATTCAACACTCACTTTAGCCACAACGTCACTACGCATTCGCTTAACTACAATGTGAGAAGTTCCGTGGGAACCTCCAACATGTCTCGTCTAACAGACTCATAGGTGCGACGAAAAATCTCCCTGCTCCAGCAACGGCGCCTCTTGTGGGTCTGAAAATGATTTCCTTCCAACGGATAAGAAAATCATTTGCTGTGATTGCAGCGAAATCGACTACTTCGACCATGCCGGGAATCCAGACGATGCCCTATGCAGACATTGTGGCCATATGATGTGTTCAGATTGCAAACCTGAATAAATGCAGCGCTCATTGCCCCGAAGACTCGAGAGATACATTATATTGTGTAAGATGAAGAGACCTAGAGAACATAAGTTAGTTAGACATCATAGTGGGATTGGGTTCAAAAACTTTCGTTCGTTCATGTGGTTATTATAAGGGTTCTTTCATTTCTTGTTGTTTTATTTATGCTTCTGTATTCGGGATGTAAAGGCGCCAACATCTTCAACTCCTATATTTCTTGCTTGTCAGATATACCTAGGTAGATATCACGTTCTTTCTTTCATAGACCTCGAGGTTTCAAGATTTCAATTCATGAGAAGTTCAACCGGTTGTTAAAACAAAACGTTCCAATGATAGAAACAGAAGAGAAATGTGAAAAGAGGAAAAGTCTATTTTCCATGCTTTATTATTTAGCCCATTCACTTTATTCGGTACGAGGATTACCTTAGTAGCGGGTAGAGGATTCCAGTTATCCACGATTCAAGGTTCGAAGGTAAGGTGGATTCTTGTATGACAGACTTGAACCGGGACGATTTTGTCCCACCATGAATTTGGGGCTCGATGGGAGTCGTTTCCCTCTCAAGGTATCCAGGATTCCAGATTAATTCAAGAATTTAATCTTTCATTGGTTCGAATATGGTTCAAGGTTATAATTAAACGCATATTGTCTGACAGACGGAATGCATATTTAATACGCATAAGGCACAATCTGTTCCTAAATTGGGTGGTGAGTTGTGTAAGCTGGGGAAAGTGGAAAAAGATAATTTGAAGTCTGACAGCATCGATCGCATCTGGTTCGTCGGCACCTACTTGGGTGAGATAAAAAGGCCAATCAATCTGCGACCTTGATATTGTCAGATATCAGATATCAGTTGATTGAAGAAGTAATCTTCGCGTATACATACCCCTATTAATCATGAAATCTTTGGCATTCCCCGGATACCTATCGAAGATGCTCAGCTTAAGCGACGTTGAAATATTGGGGAATGAAGTTGGAGATAATGCATATCCAATCCCGGTATTCGGCTCCTTAGGTAAGTGTATCCCAGTACCTTATAGCCTGATTGGAGATCCAAGGACTATCTGACATCTAGAGATGTATCATTGAATGCCAACTTCCTAGGCATATACCTCGAATAAGATATCATTACGCGTGCTATCACTGCTGCTATTAAAATAAATGTACGATTGTTAAGAATTCCACAATTAATAACAGCGGGATCCCGAGTCCGTCGAAACCTCAAACTCCAATGCCTAAAGTAAGGGGGGGTATCAATTGCGCTCACATCTAAGACCTATTTCCTTTCCTGAGCTCCTTCATCTCAAGCCCCACACCGTTGTTGATCGCGAGATCGTTGAGGTTATATCTAGCAAGCACGTCTGCTAGGACCTTGCCCATGGGGTAGAAGCTGTCATGACTCTCGTGGTTGGCGCAGGGCGATCTTCGGAAGGGTAGGATCCAGTCGAGGACATTGGTGCCCATTACGCTTTGCCAGTTTTTCCATGCCCCAATATCCCACGGATTTTCCCCGGGCTCCGTCCTAAGTATCGCAAAAGTTCGGGTTGCTAAATCATCGCGGGTCGATGGGCTGACACGATTCGGCTGCGGGCTCGCGCCCCTGCTTTCGACCGCCCGAGGTCGTGCCGTGTCATTCGAACGGCCGTTCGTCACTTCTTCTAGCTTCGGAAGAGGATATGTTACTACGGTGAATTTGTCCGTTGATTCGGTACCACGGGGCACGCGAACGGCCAATTGGTGCACCTTAGTGCGAGAGCTAAGCATATCGACATTTGTCATGTTGGCGAAGATGTATCGCACCGATGTTACGGTCATTAGGAAAGTGAAGAGTCCGAAGAATGCAGCCAACACGATGATGGGTATGAAATGAGGATCCAACGAAGACCCCTCGTTAATCTCCTTGCGGAGACTCGAGGCTGCTGCACCAAGGACGACGGCGCAGTAGCAAGCAGTATAAGAAGTAAACTGCACGAAGAACTTGAAAGCTATGAGCTGTTAGTATACCTCTAATTCTGTGAAGGGTAAAATGAATTATAGCTCACAATTCTCCCCGATCATGCCACCAACCCAGGGACAGTAGTGATCCATGCGAAGGACGCATCGATCGATCTCGGTACTGTGATGGGCACGATCTGGCTTCCAATTATAACAATGGGAGCACCATTTAGGTCGACCATTATTCTCGCAAATGAAGACGTCCTTTGTATAGAATTGTTCTAAGCCAGGACTATCTGGATCCAAATCGACACCTCCATAGTAAGGTCGGCTCTCGAGATCATGTCCCTGAATCCCTTGTCTTCTGTTTTCCTTTTCTCTCTTCCTTTGCTCGATCGCTACTGGTCCGAGGGGTACAATTCCGGGATCGACAAGGACGGCGATGACAGCTCGTATATAGGTGCCTATCATCAATAGGAGGAGTAGGAAATATAAAACTAGGATAGCGATGGCTGGCCCGAGCTCGGATCGCTTGTTGATGAGGTAGCTAGCTAGATGGCGGATTCGTTAGCGAATTAGTGAAATAACCCGAGAGGCTAGACTATAACCCACAACAGACCCTGCCGACAACGACATAGGTAGCATAGCTGATAACACCAACGAGAAATAGCGGGATTATGCGAGTGGTCCAGCGCGTCACAGCTCTGGTGCTTTCAATGATAGGCATTTCTTATACACATCCTGATGACTGCCCCTCTCTATAGATGTAAGTGACGCCGGTGATGCTAGTAACGTTGGTGACGTTGGTGACGCTAGCTCCGGCGGAATCGAGAATCGAATCGAGAAGCGTGGGCGTTCGTCGGTCACCCGACGAGACGCGGATAAGGAGAGCTGTCGTTGTTTGTTGGCTCGAGGTTGCATCAAGATTGCATCGGGTCTACGGTCTGCAGGTTGCAGGTCTGTATGGGTCTCGAATCCGCGAATCCGCAATGCACATTACAAACTGGGGTTCTTCTTAATGTAAATAAATGACAAGGGTGGGTATCGGAATCATCACTTGCGCGATTCCAGCTATTAATAGAACGAGAATTGCGCTATCGAATATTAGCTAAGCAGGTGGTCCAATCACGATGCAGTAACGTCCACGCGCGTTACCTAACCGCAACCTTAAGTTAAGGGAAAGTCTAACAATCAAACAAAATATCTTCAACGACACTTCTGATATCGCATAAAGCTTAATATGTTAGCAATTATCCATCAAGACTAAGCGACTAGAAAGGCTTTTTATTCCTACTATCTTGACTCTTTCCGCCTAGGACGTGGCATTCACAACATGCATCTAAATGACTCAGCTGATACTCTGCACAAGATGCTTATAGTGAACAAACCATATACAAACCAAAAGGAGTTTGTAGACTTACAGGCCAAGTATACTGTTCTTAGTTAACCATAGCCCTCACATACCAATATCACACAATCACAACCATCAACATCTATAGGAAACGGGGTATCAATGATCTACCTAGGATTACACGTATGTTCAAAGGTCGTACGTATGACACGGGTTCTAGAAGGTCACCAGCAACCCACTTCTCTGTGTAGAGCGACCCAAGTCTATCTACACTCCAACCCAACCGCTCGTTACGTTCCGAGCCATTCCAATTTCCATATTCATAACCCATTCCCATCTCCTCGTCTTTCTCTTTAATGGGTATATCATGACGAGAGTGAAAGCCATTTCTAACGCTAGTTTGTGTCTCGTCCATCGTCTCTTCATATCTATTTCATACCTAGGGTTCAGGTAATCACAACACCACAACCCCAACCACTAACCCAACAGCCGCAGCCAACACCCTCATCCCCACTCTCAACCCCACCGCCAAACTCCTCTGTTTCGACTCAATATAAGTCAAATTCATAGCCTTAAGCCTCATCTCACCCGTCACCGGTCCCCCCGCCGCAACAGAGTGTAGCTCATCAGTGAACGTAGCGAGGATATTAGTGCTGCGTCCAGCGGGGCAGAAGACGACTTCCCAGCCGCCGCCGCTGGGGATGACGAACGTGGAGGTCTGGTCGTCGAACGCGTAGCTGTACGCGTCGGGGCACATAGCCTTCGCGTTATACGAGTACTGGCTCGGCTCGCACACCCACGGGTCGTCGTAGTCGCCCGTGCAGCAGTCCTCCGGCGCCTTGTCTGCCGCGCACGCGCTCTTGCACGGGTCGAACACCGGACGTTCGAGGTTGTCGTCCGGGTACGGGTATACGCCGTCGCCGGGCTTCTCCGGCGGGAACGCCTGGAGGTCCCAGGGACACCAGTTCGAGAGGTCCGTGTTGGACTGTATGTCCTCGTACGGCATGGGATAGGATGAGTTGGTGTAGGTGAGCCCAGTCTTACTGAAGGCAGCGAGATACCCGGGCGTTCCGATGCATGAGGGGTTCACGAGATTTGGTGGAATGTAGGTTGTGTTATCTGCTGGGTGGTATACCACCCCTAGAGGCAGATTATAACCGTCGACGAGTGAAATGTCGTAGAAGGTTTGTGTGCCTGTGACGCCGCCTGCAAGGTTGAATTCGGCAAGGGTAACGGGGACGGCACCCTATCCCGTCATTAGTTACCAAGACAATGTTTTTATTCCCTTGTTTGACTTACACCGTATTCGCAGTCTAGTTTACCAAAACAGTCACCTGTTTTACACGTCGCCGTATCCCCACTGATGGTACAGTTCGTACGACCCCATATTCTGCCCTGCCATGTCGGACCGACAGTCTGAGATTTGGTCTCACCAGGTGCGAGTTCGAAACCGTGGGAATCGGGTGGATCGCCATGCTGAGTACTAATCCCGGGCCATAGCGTATCTCCGCAGTTGTTGGTAACGATTAATGGGATTGCATTGTCGCGCTTGGTAAAGGGGCGACTTGTTCCTAGGTATCGTCGGTTGGGGCCTAGGTAGTCAAACTTGTATTTCTCGTGGTTGCTCGGGTACACAACAGCGCCTGCTTGTGAAACCAACGACGATAAAAAGAGAGCGGTAACGAGTGACGACGTGGCCCGTGGAGGGTCATGTCGATGACTATATCCCCACGGCCATTTAAACATGGTACCGTGTTTACGCGCTCTCGTAGAGCCGGCCATATATTCCAGATGACTTCGAATATTCTCATACGCCGGTATAGATAGATCACCTAACGGGGCATGAATAATGTGTCTTGGTAGAAAGGTATAGCAAATAGGTAGCGCATCATCCGACAACAGCCATAAGGATTCGAGAGCCTTGTCGAAAATCACTAGTCGTTGAACGTGACGTTACAAGTACAAGTTTCGGCCTGGGTCCTTAAAGATGGTTTTGGTAATGAATACAGTGGTGTCTTAATGTGATTCGAGGCCTAGTTTTCGGGGTAATCGATTCGAATATATTGATTTCGAAGAAGAGACCTGGTAACTGGTGACGTACAACGAACAATATCAAGGTAGCAGATCGCCGGGATTAGTCAAGTATCTCCCGTGAAGATCTCTCCTTGATATTGGTTACCAACGGATGAGAAGCGCAGGGCCAAGCAGGAACAGTATTTGCGGAGAAGAGGACTAGGTATTGATTCGATAATTGACAATATATACAAAGGTTAAAATATCCTAAAAATGACGTGAAGAAGTGATAGGAAAGGTGCATACACCTTCAAGGAGGTTTGACGGTATTGAAGAAGGCCATTCTAAGAGGTAGATCTAAGCAGACCTATTAGGTATTGGACATAGAAAAGCGAGGGAGATGTGACATCCATCGAAAGAGGAATGAGCGATGACGCAGTTACAACTGGCTACCAGGTTTTTGCCGGAATAGTCAGGGGTAACTCACCCCTGTCCGCCCTGTCCTACTTTCCCCAAGTTTAAACCATATCACCAGGTGGTCCAAGCGTGCAATACATCGCCATCGATGTCATCGCGCGTACACCTTGTTCTATCCACGGATATCCCCGATTTCTCACCAGAACCCGTGGATTCGAGTAAAAACCACATTAGTATGTACTTATTACCTACCTCCATGAAGACCGAGGTAGGTACCCTTACAATGTTATTGATCTATCTACCTAAGTATATTAATAATACTCTAAACTTTCCACGACCATAACGAATCAAATATTCTACATATCAGATCACGAAGTTGTGTAATGAGAACCGAACTATCATGGCCAGAATTTTACTAAATTGTTAAATTGCCTGCAGGTCTACTAATAGCAGACGTATAACCGTTCATGCAACCCTTAACTCGTCCATCAACCTATCAAATAATATCGATTTCGCTATGATTAAACCTTTCTCGCCAACTCAATTCGATAGAAGGGAAGCTTCTGTAAATGACGATGGCCGATCAGCAGAAGAAACAATTCTTCCTCCCTCGCATTACCAGATCGCCGATTAATTCGGGTACGTTGTTGCTCTTTTATAACGAGGTATCATTTGAAGGCTATTAAAAGCATCGAAGTAGACGAAGACGTTAGTTTAGAAGACCCTAATCATAAATGACATCCACCTCCCCTATCGCGACCATTCTACCTGAATCTAGATCTGCAGCGGCCCATAACCTCTCCCTGGCAGACTAATTCGGCGCTAAATTCGGAACCATCCAGAGTTAGGTAGATATCGAAATATACTCTGTAGAAGGTACCCTGTGGCGTGTCCATACGCTCAAAGTCCTTCTCGAGGTTCTTACGCGATAGATCGGATGTAAGGGTGACTACTTCCTTTATGCCTGCAGGTTGTGTTAGCTTTCAGGGAAATTTCTAAGCAGAAATCGGGCTACTTACGAGGATCTTTAGTATACTCTGGGCAGACATCCTCGTCACAGGCGTACAGAATATCTTCGTACATGAGAGTAGCACCGGGGGCCACCTGTCGGAAAAATGAAACCTTGACCGGTTCACCAATCTTGACCTTCTGGCCTTTTTGTACGAAAATTTGCCGTGTGAACTTGCATCGGTCCTTGCCATCCAGCGACGGTACACGGTATGCCTCGGGGTGATAACCCTCCTTGAATGGCTGCAGAGTGGCCATAAGATAGTGGCGACGGGCTACACGATGCGTGATGACACGCTCAGTAATACCAGCAGTAACAGCACCCTTCACGATGGCGGCGACGGAGTCCATAGGTCGTACAACCTTAGACTGGAACTGAGGAGGAACATGAAGCTTGATCTGCTGGAAGAGGTATTCAGAAGCGCCAAACCCACCGACTACTAGGATATTTTGTAGTGTCCGGTTCTGGGCTTGGATCGCGATAATTTGGTTTCGTACAAGCTCCAGGATTCGGTTCACAACGGGCTCGAAACACTGAAGGATTTCCTCGTTGGTAAAAGTCATGTAACCTTCCTCGATGCCGGCCTCAGGGAATTCAGCTTCAATACCGACGTCGACAGCCCATTTCTGGCCGTTATTCCTAAAATCGGCCTTAATTCGGTTCTCGAAATCCATAATGCATTTTGCATATACTCGGCCAGCAGTTTTAGATCCGTCAGGTAGCTTCATTTTTCGGATCTTAGTCCGAAGAATATTACTAAAATTCCTGTTGAGAGCCGTAGATCCGCACGAGTCACCAGAACCGGCCGTGCATTCTGCGACGGTAAAGGGATTTTCATCTTCGACTTCATAAGCGATTAAGTCGACAGTACCACCACCGCAATCAACAATCAGGATAGCATCGTGGACTTTCAGGTTAAGCAAACCGGTCTTAGCACAGAAGAGCGATGCAGCCTCGGGCTCACTGACAAGCGTCAATCTGTTGTCGTTCTCGTCCCTAAGGAAACCGGCTTGGATAGCGGCAGCTCTCGTAG